GACCAGGTGCTAGGGATGGGACAGGTGCTAGGACTTTCCCTCCCCCTGCCCTCTCCAGCACCAGGGTGCTGCCACCTCTACCATCCATTCAAGGCCCCAGAGGAGGGGACTGGCCTTCTTTAACGGCCAGCAGGGTGCCAAATTATTGCTTCTAGTGGTTACTGGTCCCCTTCTAACAGAAAATGGTGCTGCATCTGTTAAAGCCAGGCCATGTGCTCAACTTTTTCTTCCTAGTCACATGAGCAGGAAATGCATGAAACAGGAGGTTGTAACATGATGGCAAAAATCTGCAAGCTGGGCTCTGGACCTTGATCCACCTCTGGTCTCAGATCTCCCAGTAGCTGGTCCATCCACCATTGCCCACCTGAATCTGCTGCTGGGAGGAAGTTGACCCTAATGTAGTATGTACATCTGGGGTTCTCTTATACCACTTTTATGGTGTCACGTATTCAGCCTTCCTTTCTAGGGGTTGGTGAAGAATTTATTTTGTCTGGTCTTAATTGAAAATTGGGCTTTTGAGTATTATTTTTACATAAAGCGTCTGCTTTCTCTGGAGTTTCTTTTTTGCTTGCTTGCTTGCTTGCTTGCTTCACAAACTGTCATGTAAACCCTGCGGCATTTTGTCCAGAAATGCCAGACTACATCTCCCATGATCCATCATGACCTCCCCTGCTTGTACTTCCTCTCCTTTCCATAGTGTATCCTGGGAGTTGTAGTCCAACCATAAAGCCCAACCTATAAAGGCTAATAGGAGCATGAATCACCCTAACTATGAGTTCCATGAAGTACCACAGCAGAGTTTCACAATTGAAATATCATGGGGTTTGGCTGGGTTTTTTCAGGACTTGAAGCTGTGCTGTAAAAGTGAATTGCCCTGTGCAGAATTTAAATAAATTTTGTAATTTTCATCAGCTATTTCCAGGGAAAGAACCCCCACAACACCCATTTTTCTACCAGTTGTTTTCCTTATGCTCATAGTGCCTTGGAAATGCAACAGCAAAGATCGAGGGCATGGACTTGACCCTCATGACCTCACCCATGGCCTACTTTGTCCTGAAATCCCTCGCTTGCACACACGTAGAATGAGGTGATCAAAGAGAAAAGGGTTTTCACTGCTGCTATATCTACCTTCTTCAGAGGATTCTTCTTGTGCTTCTACGTTGGTCGCTTCCTGGGTTACTGCAGAGAAGAAAAATCCTTGAAGACTAGGATAAGAGATGCAGGGCTAGGTTTTCAAAGATACTCAGTTATCTAGCTGCCAATGATTTAAAAGAAGATTCGGGGTCTATATACTTTGAAGGTCTGGGCCTTACTGACTGTTGGTTACATTTTTCTGGGAGACTTCCCTTCTCTCCAGAAATGCAGTCCTCTAATGAACACAATGAAACACACCGCCGTTCATCACTAGTAACTTAACAGGCCAGCGTTCTTCACAAGGTTTGATGGTACATTAGGGTGTTAGGAAGCAAGAAGGC